AGGTTGGGGATCCTTGATCTAGTCCAACCCCACACTCAAGCAGGAGACCCTACACCATTTCGGACAAATGGCAGCCCAGTCTCTTCTTAAAAGCTTCCAGTGATGAAGCTCCCACAATTTCTGAAGGCAACTTCTGTTCCATGGGTTGATTGTTCTGTCAGAAAATTTCTCTTTATTTCCAGGTTGAATATCTCTTGGAGGCTGGAGGTCTTCTAGTCCAACTCCTCCTTGCTCAAACAGGAGACCTTATACTGTTTGAGATAACTGGCTGTCCAACCTCTTCTTGAAAGACTCCGGTGATGGAGCATCCACAACTTCTGGATGCAAGTTGTTCCACTGATTAATTGTTAGGAAAGTTCTCTTTAATTTAGGTTGGATCTCTCCTTGGTTCAGTTTCCATCTTAATTCTTGTCCTTCTCTTAGGAACTTTGGAGGAGAGCCTACTCCTCTCCTCCTTTTTTCCCCCTTCCTCCCTTTTCCTGTTTTCTTTTCTTTTCATTTGCATTTCAGATGAAGATAAATGTCAGCGCAACTTAAAATTCCCAAGAAGTTGAATGATTCTGTTCAAAAGGAATAGGCGTAAAAACAACCCTTGAAACAGCATCAGGCTGGCAAGCCCACCATAACTTTACGCGTGTGGGGGTAGGAGGGATTGGTTCCAACTTCCTTTTTGGAAGGAGAATTTCCTTTTTGGGTGGGAAGAGGCAAATATGAAAAGAGTGGGGTTGAAGCCAAGTTTTGTCCACCTACCAGTTGCAAATCTGAATATTTGCACATGACTCAGGTTGTGTCATTTCAGCTTTGCGGACATTCAGTGAAGCTTCAGTTGATCAGGACAAACTGTAAAGGGAGCTATGGAATGGAATGGAATATAAAATAGATGGATAGGATAGGATAGGATAGGATAGGATAGGATAGGATAGGATAGGATAGGATAGGATAGATAGGATAGGATATAGAGAATAGAATAGAATAGAATAGAATAGAATAGAATAGAATAGAATAGAATAGAATAGAATAGAATAGAGTAGAGTAGAGTAGAGTAGAGCAGAGCAGAGTAGAGTAGAGTAGAGTAGAGTAGAATAGAATAGAATAGAATAGAATGCAGAGTAGAGTAGAGTAGAATAAGGATACGATAGAATAGGATAGGATAGGATAGGATAGGATAGGATAGGATAGGATAGGATATAGAGAATAGAATAGAATAGAATAGAATAGAATAGAATAGAATAGAATAGAGAATAAGAATAGAATAGAATAGAATAGAATAGAATATAGAATAGAATAGAATAGAATAGAATAGAATAGAATAGAATAGAATAAGAATAAGAATAAGAATAGAATAGAATGGAATGGAATGGAATGGAATGGAATGGAATGGAATGGAATGCAGAGTAGAGTAGAGTAGGATAAGGATAAGATAGAACAGAACAGAACAGAACAGAACAGAACAGAAGAAATGTATTTGTTTAGGACCTTGGAGGTCTTCTAGTCCAACCTCCTGCTCAGGCAGGAAGCCCTCTACCATTTCAGACAAATGGTTATCCAATCTCTTCTGAAAAATCTCCAGTGTTAACAGATTAACAGAGTTGGAAGGGACCTTGTAGGTCATCTAGTCTAACCCTCCACCCAAGCCAGGAGACCCTACATCATTTCTGACCGATGGCGGTCCAGTCTCTTCTTGACAGTCTCCAGTGATGAAGCTCTCACCACTTCCAAAGGCAACTTCTGTTCCATGGGTTGATTGTTCTCACTGTCAGAAAATTCCTCCTTAATTCCAGGTTGAATCTCTCTTTGATCAGTTTTCATCCATGATTCCTTGTCTGGCCTTCGGGTGCTTTGGAAAATAACTTGACCCCCTCCTCTCTGTGGCAGCCCCTCAAGTATTGGAAGACTGCTATCATGTCTCCTCTGGTCCTTCTCTTCACTAGACTAGCCAGGCCCAGTTCCTGCAACCATTCACTGTATATTTCAACCTCCATTCCCCTAATCATCTTTGTTGCTCTTCTCTGCACTCTTTCTTCTAATCCAACCCTGTGGTCCATCAGGAAACTCTATAACATTTCAGACCAATAGCTGCCCAATTTCTTTTTGAATACCTCCAGTGATGGATCATCCACAACTTCTGGAGGCAAGTCATTCCACTGATTAATTGTTCTAACTGTCAGGAAATTTCTCCTAGGTTGCTTCTCTCCATGATTAGTTTCCATCCATTGCTTTTTGTTTTGCCTTCTATCCTTTTCCATTTTTCTGTCTTGAAGACAAAGTCATAACACTAGAAGGTATCCATAATTTTGGGTCCTTTGTTCTTCAACAACTAAGCAATTGCTGCAGGGATTGGTCAATGGGCAACCACTCTGAAACTTTAGTAGAAAATACGATTCTAAGAGTAATTGTTGCTTCCTGAGAATTCAGAACAGCCATGCAAACACCCAGGATTCTTAGAAGAATAAACAGCAATAGCACTTAGACTTATATACAGCTTCCCAGTGTTTTACATCCCTCTCTAAGTGGTTTACAGAGTGAGCCTCTTGCTCCCAACAATCTGGGTCCTCATTTTACCAACCTGGGAAGGATGGAAAGCTGGGTCAACTGTGAGCTGGTGAGGATCGAACACCTGGCAGTGGGCAGAATTAGCCTGCAATACTGCATTCTAACCACTGCACTACCACGGCTTCCTTCTTCTTATTTCCCTTCATCCCTTCTCCCCTTCCTTCCTTCCTTCCTTCCTTCCTTCCTTCCTTCCTTCCTTTTCTCCCTTCCCAGTAGACTGATATACTGCTTCTTTATCAGCCCCCTCTGAGCGATTTACAGAGTCAGCATATCGCCTCCAACAATCTGGGTCCTCATTTTACTGACCTCGAAAGGATGGAAGTCTGAGTCAACCTTGAGCCCGTCAGGATCCAACTCCTGGCAGTGGGCAGAGTCAGCCTGCAATACCGTATTATAACCACCGTGCCACCATGGCTCTTCCCAAGAAGAAGGCTAAATATAAGTAGTTTTTGACTTACAACCAAAACTGGGAGCAGAAATGGAGTCGCTAAGCAAGGCAAGTCACACTTAAATTTACATCCTCTTTTGCCTATGATTATTAAGCCAATTGCTGCAATTGGTAAGTGAATCATGCTCTTATTAAATGAATTTGGCTTCCCCCAAATTCGGAAGCCAGCTGGGACAGTCGCATGACCTCAGGACACTACAATGATCATAAATAAATGCCAAGCACCCCAATGTTGACTCCATCCTCACGGAGATGCTGTGATGGACGTTTGTGTGAGGAACAATCGGAAGTTACTTTTTTGAAGAGATCCCTACTGATGAGAAGGTGATTAGGAAAAGATTAGAATGTGCAGAAATGAACAGATTAACGCTTGCAATTAAGGAGAAAGAACAAACTGAATATTATACGATATGGGAATTGTTTTATCCATGGTTAGAGAATAAAAATGGAAGTGGGAAATAAAAGGAGGAGATTAAAGAAGAGTAGAAAATATGTTAAGATAGAGATGTAAACAATATGATAATTCATTATTAGGATTATTATGCTTAATATTATTATTATATTCTTATTAAAAGATATGTTAAGAGGGAAAACTGAATAGGTTTACTATGCTCAATTGTTCAATAAACTGCAATTGTAAGATCAGAGAATTAGTATCAATGTAATGAATGTTGTTGTAAATTTTGATGGTTATTGCAAAAAGATATTTATACCCAGATGACACACTGTTTAAGAGAAGATGGAATGTTTATGTTTTTTTTAAAAAAAATAAAAGCTTATTATATAAAAAAAGGGGAAGTTACTTTTTTTCAGTGCTATTGTAACTTTGAACAGTCACTAAATGAATGGTTGTAAATTGAGCACTTCCTGCATATTCATCCATTCCTTTCAAATTCAAGTTGAGATAGTTTGTCCGTCCCGTAATTGGGTAGACCAGGTTGCCCTGATAGACAGGTCTCACTGGAAAAACACTTAATCTCTCTCCTGGTATAGCTGACAAAGCGAGGAGACCCTGTGGCCTAGAGGTGAATACATCTGCCTAATATGCAAGCAGTCTGGGTTTGAATCCAGGAAGGGTATGGCTAGCTGATGAGAGCTAAATAGTTTGAAATAGACCTATACTAGTCTCCCTTCATTTCTTTGTCAGTAAACGTAAATTCAACACATCAAGTCGACATAATATCTATGTTGCTGGTCGTAACTGGTTTTGTGATGACGTGGGGCATGGCACGAAGGCAACACAGCCAGAGAACTGGTATGACTCCCTTTATTGGTACCAACTCTGCCCCCAACATCCCTTTTACGGCCTGGAGAAAAGCTCTCCCACAAACTTGCAGATACTCCAATCCAACTGCAATCAATCATTCCAGCAAGGCAAGATAATGAGTCCTAGACGGGAAGAATAATCCCAGCAAGACAAGATAAGCACGCAGTAGCACGGCAGTAATTCAAACAGTCAGGAGGGAATGCCAGGAATGCAGGTCACAACTCTCAACACCAGATTAATTCAGTGTTTGTTCCTGACAAACGCCGCTCCCAACTGCCTTTCCTTTAAACTCCATCCCCAGGTGTGCCTTGTGAAGGGAATTGGGGCCCTTCTCTTCCTCTTAAGCCAAGCGACTCACATTGCTCTCTTCTGCGTTCTTCCCTGCGTGCCCTAGGATGAGGAGGGGGTGGGCCTTGGTCTTCATCTGAGCCCCCTCTCCCTTGTTCTACCTCTCCCCTGCTCTGCCCAGTCTGACTTTGCTTTTCCCCAGTTTCCGCCACAGCCCACAGAGCCACTCTCCCATGCTCTCTATCAGCTGTTCGTCATCTGTCTCAGATTCAGTCTCCGACGGGGGCATGACAGGCTTAAATCAAAGCAAATGAACTCAGACGATAAATTTATTCATGATGGCCCACCGTAATGGCTTGAAAGAAAAGAAATCATATCCCATCACCCAGCCAGGCAAACATTCCATGGGGAAACCTTCAATCGAAGCATCCAGCACTTACTTACCCAAGAAGTCCAGCCGGCTGGTGTCCTTGGTAGAACTCATGCAATTCTCCAGGTAAATCCCATCCTTGAAGCAATTGTCCTGCTTTTTGGTTAAGCCAAAGATCTCGCTGGGTTGGTCCAATACCTCTCCATTGAAACAAGAACATGGTGTCTGCATAATGCCACAAGGATGCGAGCTGCTGCTGGTGGCCAAGCAAGTATCCAGCCATTTGCACAACATCTGGCAAGCGGCCTTGCTGGGACTTCTGTTGCCCACCACAAGATATTCTACCGAGAAGTCCCTTTCCTGAGTCTTGGCTGGTTTCCACCTGACCCACCCACTGTCCACTTTGGAAAGAGTCTGCTTCATCTGGAGGAACTGCTTGTTGGACTGGAGGAAGGCGTAGTGGGTAGAGCTGTCGCAAAGGTTCAGCACGTCGTCGAAGCTCTCCATGCCCAGGTACGTCCGCGTCGACTCCAAGAAGGAGTCGAATTGGTAGGTGCGTATCTGCTGGCGGTCGCAGAGACCCAAGGGCTTCAAAACCTTCATGTACAAGGTGTATCTCCGAGGATCGGGGTTCTGGATAATCCAATTGCAATGGGAAGCGTTCAACGGGAAGACGGCAAAAGAGGAGAAGTATCCAAAAAACTTGCCCTGGACCAAAGTGGTGCAGGGCGATGGTCCCAAGTCAAGGGCCACCACGGTCCACGCCAAGAACGGTGGCAACAACCAAAGCAGGTTCAAGGAATATCTATTGCTCCTCCTCATCCTAGTCCCCTGGTCCTTTGGAACTCAAAGCAATTGCCAGGCAAAGCGCAGATCTTGGACATAACAGGAGAAAGAGAGAGAGAGAACTGGCCCCCAGTTCAGCGGTGGATTAATCCAGCCTTCTCACATCTGGATTGAAGTCTCCTCCTTATGGCTCGGACAAGCAACCTGCAGAAGAGAAGAAGAGAAGCCATGGGTTTCATGTCTATGGAGATTCTCAGTCATCCAGGTCATGGTTGTCCCAAAGGTGCTTTTTTTCAAGAGGAAACTGGACTTTCTGGTTTTTCTTTGAAGAAATTTCACTTCTCATCCAAGAAGCTTCTTCAACTCTGGCTGGATGGTGGGGAATGGAAGGATTTATATTCCTTGCAGACAGCTGGTCATTTGCATCCTTTTTAAACAGTCGCTGAGGCCACTTGGAGGTTTATCTGTGTACTCAGGATCACCTGAATAGTGCAAATGGGTTTGGAGCCTTCTTGGAACTGTTCCACACCCATTTTCACCACTCATGTGACCCTGAGGACACAGATAAACCTCCAAGCGACCTCAATCTCTCTCTAAAAAGGATGCAAATGACCAGCTGTCTGCAAGGAGTATCAATCCTTCCATTCCCCACCATCCAGTCAGAGCTGAAGAAGCTTCTTGGATGAGAAGCGAAATGTCTTCATAGAAAAAACAGAAAGTCCAGTTGCCTCTTGAAGAAAAGTACCTTTGGGACATGGATTTCATGAATTTCAGAATGCAGAATGGTGAAAGGCAATGAGATCCAGATCTGCCTTGTAAGAACATCTCAAAGGTACCACTGGAACATAGAATCAGGGGGTTGGGAGGGACCTCAGAGGTCTTCTAGTCCAACCCTTAGAGATAGAGATCAGCTGCCTTACATTTCTAGGGAGGAAAAAGACCAGGATAAATTAAAGGAAACTTGGAAGTCATACAATGGCTTGCTGGCAGCTCTGTAGGGCAGCTGCTATTCAGAATAACAGAATAATAGAGTTGGAAGGGACCTTGGAGGTCTTCTAGTCCAACCCCCTGCTCAAGCAGGAGACCTTATGCTCTTTCAGAAAATTGGTTATCCAATCGCTTCTTAAAAACTTCCAGTGTTGGAGAATTCACAACTTCTGGAGGAAAGTTATTCCGCTGATTAATTGTTCTAACTGTCAGGAAATTTCTCCTTAGTTCTAAGTTGCTTCTCTCCTTGATTAATTTCCATCCATTGCTTCTTATCCTGCCTTCAGGTGCTTTGAAGGATAGCTTGACTCCCTCTTCTTTGGGGCAGCCCCTGAGATATTGGAACACTACTATGATGTCACCCCTAGTCCTTCTTTTCATTAAACTAGACACACCCAATTCCTGCAACCGTTCTTCATATGTTTTAGCCTCCAGTCCCCTCATCATCTTTGATGAATGTTTTGGAACTCATTTTTACCTAAAGAAGAGGTAGCCTTCCAGATGCTAAGAATTTGCAATCTTATGCATGGGAAGGATGCAAGTTGTGGGATTTTAATTTAATTTAATTTAATTTAATTTCCAATTTATATACCGCCCTTCTCCCTAAGGACTCAGGGCGGTGTACAGCCAAGATAAGAACATAGAATACAAATATTAAAAACAGTTAAAAATATATATAAATTTTGCCCGAAAGTTAAGAAGTCACAAACTGATTAAAAGAATTTAAAAATTTCTTCTTAAGCCAGCCCGGCTTGCTGGAAAAGATGGGTTTTAAGGGCACGACGGAAGGCATTGAGGTCATGGATTCTCCTTATCTCAGGGGGCAACTGATTCCAGAGGGTAGGAGCCCCCACAGAGAAGGCCCTGTTGTCTACTAGGCTAGAAGGGACCTTGGAGGTCTTCTAATCTAACTCCCTGCCCAAGACAATAGACCTTATACCAGAGGTCTTCAAACTTGGCAGCTTTAAGACTTGTGGACTTCAATTCCCAGAATTCTCCAGCCAGCATAGCCTGGAGAATAGCTGGAGCATAGCTGGCTGGAGAATTCTGGGAGTTGAAGTCCACAAGTCTTAAAGCTGCCAAGTTTGAAGACCTCTGCCTTATGCCATGCTGGTCAAAAGGTTGTCCAGTCTATTTTTGAAAACCCCAACTCCAGAAAGCAAACTCTCCCATTGATTCATTGTTCTCATTGTCAAGAAATTTATCCTTATTTCTAGGTTGGGTCTCGACTTACAACAGTCCATTTAGTGACCGTTCAAAGGGACCACGGCATCGAAAAACGTGACTTGTGACCGTTTTTTAACACTTATGACTGTTGCAGCATCCCCATGGTTGGTCAAGTGATCTACATTCGGATGCCTGACAACTGATTCACATTTATGACAGTTGCAGTGTCCGCGTGATCCCGTTTTGCGACCTTCTGACAAGCAAAGTCAAGGGGGAGGGAGCCAGGTTTCGCTTCACAATTGCGTTACTCATTTATCCAGTGCAGTGATTCACTTAACAACTATGGCAAGAAAAGCCGTGAAATGGGGCAAAACTTACTTAACAAATGTTTCACTTAGCAACATCCATTTGGGGCATAATTGTGGTTGTAAATCGAGGGCTATCTGCATAGATACTAGAGCGTTATGGATAGCCTGAGGTCAAACCTGCTTAATACACTCCCCTGCCCTCTCTGCTAAGGGCTTATGAGACAACGTCTTCTTCTGACATCTTCTTCCTTTTGAAGGTATTTTTCGAGCAAGGCCCTACAAAGCCAAGTCTACCTCCACAAATACTCTTTCTCTAAATACCACCACAGATGCACATCTGACCTTGTCTGTAGATGAAAAGCTGCGATAAGCAGAACGGTGGGACAATCTCTCTTCGGTACCACCCACGCTGCCCTGTATATCATACCACCCACAATGAGATGTGCGTTGCACACAACCTGGAACACAGATATACCATCCTTAACGTTAAAAGACCTGCAGGAGAGTCTAAAGTGAGCTTGAGTTGACTAGAATCAAGAAGCATGGATTCACAAAAGAGATACTAATACCACTCTATAAAGCCTTAGTAAGACCCACACCTAAAACATTGCATCCAGTTTTGATCACCACACTATAAAAAAGATGTTGAGACTCTAGAAAAAGTGCAGAGAAGAGCAACCAAGAGGATTAGGGGACTGGAGGCTAAAATATACAGTGAATAGTTGCAGAAACTGGACATGGCTGGTCTAGTGAAGAGAAGGACCAGGGGAGACATGATAGCCGTCTTCCAATATTTGACGGGCTGCCACAGAGAGGAGGGGGTAAACCTGGTTTCCAAAGCACTTGAAGGCCAGACAAGGAACAATGGATGGAAACTGACCAAGGAGAGATTCAACCTGGAAATAAGGAGACATTTTCTGACAGTGAGAACAATCAACCCATGGAACAGAAGTTGCCTTCAGAAGTTGTGGGAGCTTCATCCCTGGAAGCTTTCAAGAAGAGACTGGACTGCCATCTGTCAAAAATGGTTTATTCAACCTAGAAATAGGGAGAAATTTTCTGACGGTTCATTACCAATCTAGGTAACATCATCAGTGCTAGAAGAGAGTGGAGGTCGCTCGTTTTTTATATACGTGGCTAACGTTAGGGTTCTTCTCACTGGAGAAGAGCCTACTGCTGGGAAGGATGGAGGACAAAAGAAGAAGGGGACGGCAGAGAACGAGGTGGCTGGATGGAGTCACTGAAGCAGTCGGCGTGAGCTTAAACGGACTCCAGAGGATGGTAGAGGACAGGAAGGCCTGGAGGAATGTGGTCCATGGGGTTGTGATGGGCTGGACACGACTTCGCAACTAACAACAACAATGTTAGGGTTGAGCAGAATAAACAAGTGTTTTTTTTTTCCTGCAGAATATCATCCTTTGCCATGGCAAACTGCCCCCGTTCCATAAATGGACCCATAAACCTGTCAACCGCTGACTCCACAATGCTGACTCCAGCATCCAAAGCCAGACAGAAAGGCTGGGCATGCATTCTCCGTTTGCTTCCTGTCGTTTTCTCACCCTGCTACGCGCGTCGGAGTAGCCAACAAACTTTAACTAAACATCTTTGCTAATAGGATGCTGGGTTTCGCCTGTTAGACCCCAGGATCGATTTCCTTTAAACGGAGCCCCATCTGGAAGGTTTTACTGCAAGGACTGGAAGCAGCTTTACTCTCCCCTCCAGCTGGATCCTGCCGGAGTGTGCAAATGTATGGGGTGTTTTTTTTGTTGTTGTTTTTTTTTTAGAAAAAGAGGCTTAATGACACCAGCGCATAAAATGAAAAAAAGATCTCAGCAAAACACCTGGATTTCCAGCGTGGCTGGCGATAAATTCACTCCGCTCTCGGCTCAGCAGCTGAACGGAGATACAAAATGTTTCCGCCCGCTGGATTCCCACACCAGGTTTGGATAAAGACAGCCGAAAAGATCCTTTTGGTAAAAAGGAAGATTGTGTCTTTCCTCTCTAGGACTTCTGCTCTGATCTGCAACTCTCGGAGGAGACATTGGCCTAGGATTCAACTGTCTTATTTTCTTGCTAAATGCCAAAAGATCCTTATGGGGAACATTCATAGGTTCCAGGAAGGGAGGGAGAGAGGAAGGAAGGAATGGAGGGAGGGATGAGATGAGATGTATGATTGGAAGGAGGGAGGGAGGGAGGGAGGAAGGAAGGAAGGAATGGAGGGAAGGAGGGAGGGATGGAGGGAGGGGTATGATTGGAAGGAGGGAGGAAGGAAGGAATGGAGAGGGAGGGAGGAGATGTATGATTGGAAAGAGGGAGGAAGGAAGGAAGGAAGGAAGGAAGGAAGGAAGGAAGGAAGGAAGGAAGGTAGTATTATTGGAAAGAGGGAGGGAAGTACAAGATGCATGATTGGGAGAGAGGGAGGAAGCAATCAAGCAAGTCTTGGGCCCAGAAGGTCTTTTCTTCTATAGTGTCTTTTTTAACTTATATTCACCTTAACAAGAAAAGTTTATTTTCTTCTCTGCCTCAACAGTTTCTTGAGGAGCAGCATATTATCTCCCAGACATTTGGGGCTTCAGCTCCTACCAACCCAAGCAGCAGGCCCAGCTTCAAAAGACTGGAGGACGTATTGCTTATTCATCCCCTGGATGAATCAAGAATGTCTACTCTCTTGCAGTAAAATTAGGCTGCCCACCATAATTTTCCTTGACAACCTGAGCACAATGTCACTGAAAACATGCCAAC